CAAAGGCGGAAAATCCTACAGTGTGGACTCAGATAACCCAGTTCAAAGTAAACATTGTGGGATTTCCTGCCTTGACATTCTGGGATATCAGAATATCAGAATCTGGGATATAGGGCTGTGTGAAAGGGCCCATTATCTGCTTTGAACTGGGTTATATGGCAGTGTGGACTTAGGGCCCTTCCACACAGCCCTATAACCCAGAATATCAAGGCAGAAAAGCTTAGAGAAGACAATGATGCTGGGGAAAATGGAAAAAGGAAGAGGGGCCAACCAAGGGCAAGATGGATGGATGGCATCCTTGAAATGACTCGCTTGACTCTGAAGGAGCTGGGGGTGGTGACGGCCGACAGGGAGCTCTGGCGTGGGCTGGTCCATGAGGTCACGAAGAGTCGGAAACGACTGAATGAATGAACAATAAAAATCAAGGCAGAAAATCCCACAATATCTGCTTTGAACTGGAACATATGACAGTGTGGACTCAGATAACCCAGGCACCTTCCACACAGCTGAATAAAATCCCACATTATCTTCTTTTAATTGGGATATACGGCAAGATGGACCCAGTTCAAAGCTGATATTGTGGGATTTTCTGCCTTGATATTCTACAATATAGGGCTGTGTGGAAGGGCCCTCAGTTCAAAGCAGATATTGTGGGATTTCCTGCCTCAATATTCTGGATTATATGGCTGTGTGGAAGGACTCTCAGATAACCCAGTTCAAAGCAGATGTTGTGGGATTTTCTGCCTTGATATTCTGGGATACAGGGCTGTGTGGAAGGGCCCAAAGACGCACCTCCACTGTAGAATTAATATAGTTTGACCCCCACTTTTAACTACCATGATTCAAGGTTGTGGAATCATCGGAGTTGTTATTTTATATGGTCTTGCTGGCTCCAGATTGTGGTCTTAAAACACACACACACAACTCCATGCATTAAGGGGTATTATGGCATTATTGCATTTGATTCAGAACTGCACCCACAGAACTCTTCCACACAACCCTATATCCCAGAATATCAAGGCAGAAAATCCCACATTATCTGAGTGTGGACTCGCATAACCCAGTTCAAAGCAGATATTGTGGGATTTTCTGCCTTGATATTCTGGGATATAGGGCTGTGTGGAAGGGCCCCCAGAATCTCAAGGCAGAAAATCCCACAATATCTGCTTTGAACTGTGTCCATCACAAGCGAGTGTGGAGAAGAGCAAACCACAGACCACCTATTACAATGCAGCCTGAGCCCTGCCACATGGACAATGGAGGACCTTCTTAATAGCAACACCTGCGGCACTCCCAAGTGGCTAGCTACTGGTCAAAGGACATTTAATATAATGCCAAGTTTTTTAAACTTTGTGTTTTTTTAATACATTACAACTGTACCCATGGTTTGCTTCTGATACAATAAATAAAAATACTGTGTTATCTGAGGACCCTTCCACACAGACATATAACGCAGAATATTAAGGCAGAATAGTCCACAATATCTACTTTGAACTGGATTATCTGAGTCCACAATGCCATATATACCAGTTCAAAGCAGATATATGACAGTGTGGACTCAGATAACCCAGGGCCCTTCCACACAGCTGAATAAAATCCCACATTATCCACTTTGAATTGGAATATATGACAGTATGGACTCAGATAACCCAGTTCAAAGATGATATTGTGGGATTTCCTGCCTTGATATTCTGGGTTATATGGATGGGTGGAAGGGCCCATAGTCCACGCAGCCATATATTCACGTTCAAAGCAGAAAATGTGAAGCTTTATTCAGCTGTGTGGAAGGGGTTGCAGTTGCATTTGGGGGTCCTCTGACCTATTCTGTTGAGTGAGGTCCCTATTGCCCTGGAGTGCATCAACACTGTAGAATGAATGCAGTTTGGCGCACACTTTAAACTGCAATAGGGAATCCTTAGATTTGTAGTTTTTACAAGATCTTTAGTTTTCTCTGCCACAGACAGCTGGTGCCCCATCAATCTACAAATCCCAGGATTCCAAAGTCTTCAGCCAAGGCATTTAATGTGGTGTCTGTCAGAAATATTAAAAATTAACTAGGTATTAATTTTGTATATGTGTTTTGTGTGTGTGTATATATATGTGGTTTTGTGCATGCATTGTAATGTTTTTGGGTTTTTTGGCTTTTAAAGTCTCTTCTACTGTGTTTTTCAGTTTTTCTAAGAGTGATGGTCACTTGTTGGCTTGATAGGTGTATTGTGTCCCAATTTAGTGTCAATTTGCCCAGTGGTTTTTGAATTATGTTACACAAACGAACATTACATTTTTATTTATAGATATTATTATTACAGACGGAGTTTGTGAGTTAAGAGAAAAGGGAAGACTGGGAAAAAACTTCACCAATGAAGTAAAGAATCAAAAACCAAAAATGATATTTTGGGTCTTAAATAAAGAAGGCAGGATGTATGAGTTGTCATGCACATTCCTTTAAGGCTTCTGACCAAGACAAACAGGCTTTTGTTTGTCTATTTGATTACAACGACTGAGCTTTTAGTTAGAGCATCACGAGAGGCCTTGGCCCGCAAACGAATAAAACAGTGACTTTTTAATAAAATCATCGACCGACCTCTCAGTGGAACAACCTTTGATTTCACTCAGCAAAACCTGCAGCCTCAGCAGAGGAACAAAGGTCAGGGACAGAGCATGTAAAACAGATTTCTTTTTGGAGATGCATTAAAAAAACAAATAGAATGCAGAGCAAATATTCAGTCCTCCGTATCGACACTACTAACCATGGCTTGAAACCCAAACACACATATAGAAACAAACTAGTCTATGTATGTGTGTGAGAGAGAGTGGGAAGGTGCCTCTACAGCAGGCCTGGGCAAACTTGGGCCCTCCAGGTGTTTTGGCCTTCAACTCCCACAATTCCTAACAGCCTACCGGCTGTTAGGAATTGTGGGAGTTGAAGTCCAAAACACCTGAGAGGGCCCATGTTTGCCCAGGCCTGCTGTAGAGGCTTCCTTAACAATAGAGAGAAAAGATTCCCCAAAGTACAAGGGCAAAAGGCCACTATACACAAAAAGTAATACAGCTATATAATCATGAGAATGTATATCATATCTATGCTGTAGTACTACAATATTCAATGTACTAGCAGCTTGTACAAAGTATACTTAACAGAGATACACAATACAAATCTCTAAACCAAAATATTCCTTTATATGGGATAAACAACTGATTCCTACAGCAAAATGCACAAGTTTAGCAGTCCTTTTGGAAAACTAAAAGTTTATAAATGACCAATCAAAGTTTATAAGTCCTTTTTTGCAAGTCTCTGAATTAAAAACTTCCTGATGTGGGATAAACAGCTGATTCCGACAGCAGAATGCACAAGTTTGTTTTAAACTTTGAAACAAAGTTTGTCAACAGCAAACCAAGGTTTGTCAGTCCTTTTTTGGTTTTTTACTCTTAAAACTGTGCATCCTAAGGGTCTAAATCATTCCATTTCATTTCAATGTTTTATGTGAGCCGGTACATGCCTATTTAAATAGGTTTTTCTCATAAGTAACTTGCAATTGATGACTGGGATATAGCCACATCGATAGGAATACCGAGCCCCTTTAAATTTCTCTTCATATAATTTAAATTTCTCTCTATATACCAAAGTTTCTATCTGCCTTTCCTGAGCTTGCCATGGAATAAAACTAATAGCAGAGCACCTTTATAGGAGAACTTATGTGAGTATTTTTGGATCCTGTTCTGTATACTTTCACTACATTTGGTTCCCCCCCCCCCCATGCTATGTTTTCTAGCCACTCATATGTATAAGGCCCTAAATGGCCCCGGCCCAAATTACCTGTCCGAACGCATCTCCCCCTATGAACCATCGCGGAGATTAAGATCCTCCGGGGAGGCCCTGCTTTCCGTCCCGCCATTGTCACAGACACGATTGGTGGGGACGAGAGACGGGGCCTTCTCGTTAATTGCTCCCCGGCTATGGAACTCCCTTCCTGGTGAGATCAGGTCGGCCCCCTCCCTCCTGTCCTTTAGAAGGATGGTAAAAACTTGGCTGTGGGACCAAGCTTTCGGGACAGGGCAATAAAGCGGCAGTGGGATAGATGACAGGGCTAAGTGGATTTGATGCGGATGGCTAGGACGGTTTTAAATGGTGTATTTTAATATTTTGATTAAAAAAAATGTTTATGTATTGTATGTGAATTTGTGTCCCGGCATTGAATGTTTGCCGTGTATATGCTGTGCTCCGCCCTGAGTCCCCTTCGGGGTGAGAAGGGCGGAACATAAATGTTTTAAATAATAAAATAATCTTTGGCCACATCATGAGGAGACAGCAAAGCCTGGAGAAGACAAATTATGCTGGGGAAAGTGGAAGGTAAAAGGAAGAGGGGCCGACCAAGAGCAAGATGGATGGATGGCATCCTCGAAGTGACTGGACTGACCTTGAAGGAGCTGGGGGTGGTGACGGCCGACAGGGAGCTCTGGCGTGGGCTGGTCCATGAGGTCACGAAGAGTCGGAGACGACTGAACGAATCAACAACAACAACAATACTCCCTATAGGTCCACATCATTGTTGACATTTATATATTGACTTGAAGAACTCTCTACTTTGCAAAACTGACTATAAGAGGATTTCTACACTTGCACCAACTCCCACCTTGAGTCTTCCTTGACCCCAGGCTGCCTCTCTTACCTGGGCTGCCCCAATTCCCTCTGGCACAGGCCCATATTCCATGGAGGTGAAGAGATCACACACTGCTGGAGCCTCGGGGCTACTCGTCTTCCCTTTTGCTGCACCAGCCATAGGCACAGCACTGGCTTCCTCCCCTTCTGACAAACAGAAGCCTTTCGCCTGCCTCTAAAACACTGCCCTGGAAGACACTTCCGGCCTCCAAACTACCACAGAGACGGAGTAGGAGAGAAGGGCGAAACCGGAAGTGTGGGTAAGTTCTATCATAGTTTTACCTATAGCCTCTCTCGCCTCTATTCAGAACAGAGAGCGTTGAGAGAGAGAGGAAGTGTTTGGTAGAGCGGCTGAGAGAGTCCAACTTCCGGTTCCGTTTCCCTGAGTAACAGATAGTTGTCGTCAGAAGCTGCGTTGATGTGCTGTTTCCTTCATCCTGGGCCTAGTCCTTACCCCTGGCTCTCCTCTTTTGTCGCCTGCAGAAGATCATAACCTTGTGAGGCCTCATCATGGCTTCTATAACAGACAAGACCTTGCTTTCTGCTGAACTTGAGGAGGAGGAGGAGATGGAAGAGAAGGAATTCCAGAAGCTTTTACTCCAGGTGTGCTGAGACTGGGGGCCCCCTCCAGACAGGCTTTATATCCTAATATTCTGATCCCAGGTTTTCTGCTTGAAACTGGATTATATGAGTCCACACTGCCAGATAACCTGAGATAAACAGAACACTTGAGATCAGATTCTGGGAGAGTCGTTTGTCTTTTCTCTGTTTATTGAATAGCTAGCATACATACTTTGTGTTGCTTATTTATTTACGACATTTATATTTATTATTTATTTGTTTACTATGCTTCTACATCACCATTCTCAGCCCGAGGGCGACTCATGGCGGTTTACAAAACGGCACAATTTGATTCCCACAACAGTATAAAAATAATTTAAACAAAAACATTTAACACAGGTAAAAATTCATTACAATTAACATCAGTAACATAATAAAAACCATAAGTCCTCCGCATTTCATTACCAGTCATTATCCAGTCACGTTGTCCAACCGTTCCGAGATCAGAGTTTAATAGCTACACTGCGTTTGGAAAGGCCTGCCAGGTTTTAACTTTATAGCGAAACGTTAAAAGGGTGGGGGCGGATCTAACGTCCCTGGGGAGGGCATTCCACAACCGAGGGGCCACCGCTTAGAAGGTCCTATCCCTCATCCCCGCCAATCGAGCCTGTGAAAATGGCAGGGCTGAGAGCAGGGCCTCCCCAGAAGATCTTAAATTCCTCCCCAGAAGATCTTAAATTTATATGCTGCCCTTCTCACACCGAAGGGGACTCAGAGCAGCTTTCTCTCTCTCTCTCTCTGTATACATATGTAATGTTCATTTGTGGGATTAACATAACTCAAAAACTACTGGACAAATTGACACCAAATTTGGACACAAGACGCCTATCAGGCCAACAAGTGACCCTCACTCATAAAAACACAGCAGAAGGGACTTAAAAAGCCAAATAATAAAAAAATGCATTACAACACATGCGCAAACCCACATTATACACAAACACACATATATACACATATACACAAACATACACACACACATATAGATACACATATATACAGACTGGGCCACAACAACGCGTGGCAGGGGACAGCTAGTATATATATATATATAAATGTAATGTTCGTTTGTGGGATTAACATAACTCAAAAACCACTGGACAAATTGACACCAAATTTGGACACAAGACACCTATCAGACCAACGAGTGACCATCACACATAAAAACACTGAAAACACACAGCATAAGAGACTTTAAAAACCCACATATATACACAAACACACATTTTCCATTTCTTTCTTTCAGCACTGATTTTTTTTAAAAGTTCAAACCTCTGAATTATTTTACTATAATAACTTTCTTCTTATATCCCGTCACCATCTCTTCGAAGGGACTCGGGACGGCTTACAGATGGCACAAAGTGCCTAAAAACAAACATAAAGGTGAACACAATATAACATACAATAAAAGAAAACACATGCACATATAAAAACATCAATTCAAACTCAATTAAGCTGCAATCCTCTAACTGTGGTGTTAATTACATGGCTGGCCTGTAAACATTAGGAATAAAATAAGTACCAGCTGTAGTAATGGAGAGAGGGCATGGGATAAAGTGCAGGATTGTGTGACTACTACGCAGGACAATTAGGGGCTAAATAGGCGTTGCAACTATATTGGGTCTCTTGAAAAAAAAAGAAAAAAGAACGCAGATGTATTATAGCTGCCCTCTCCTTTGATGTATCTAGGGCTACACAATGCTCAAATACTACTACACTGTCACTTCCCTCCTGTAGTGGAGCTGTGAAATATATGGCATGAAGGTACTGTGATTGGAGTAACCCCAGTTGTGTTAGGCAATGGGAGAAGATATGGTGTTTCTGGAATGTCTATTTTTAGGATATGATAATGCAGCCCTCCAGATATTATTGGACTGAAACCCCAAACATTCCTTAGCTCAGGCAGTTGGGGGTGGTAGTTCAGTCCTATCTGACTCTGCTGTTCCCACCTTGGTGTAGTTCTTGCCAGAATAAAGCTAAGTTCCTTAAGTGAAAAATTAAGTTTCAATGGCAATTTAATTGGAACGGCATCTTACATCAAAGCTGACAACCTGGTTACGACTGTGCCATAAATGCATCCAATCTCTCTGTCCTTAGGCTTATCAGAAAATTCAGAGCTCGGTGCCCTCTTCAGCAGAGTATATGTTCATCCGCCCACTCCCAGGTAAAGTGTTTGGTAAAGATATGGGAATCCGTAACACAGTGAAACAAAGACATGCTGAAACGTTTAAGGGTTTTGGGGACATTGACATGGATCAGTTTTCTCCAAATCTGTGTTCTTCACATGTTGACTAGTGTGATAGGATTTCCAGTCCAGCATTTCTAGAGACAGGTTCACCAGATGTTTTGCAGTTCAGCTCCCAAAATTCCTCACTGCTGCCCAAGCTGGGGGTTAAGTCTGAAATATCCAGAGAACCAAAGTTTGGGAACCACTAGCTTAACTCGTCCTGAAATCTTCTTACATCTTTCTTTCCCCTTCAGGGTTCTGCCTTAAAATCCACACTGTTTCTGGTGAGAAGGTCTTTGTTAATGTCTGCAGGTCTCCCGACATCCCTCCACCTGCCGACCTGAGCAATGAAGAACTGTCCTGCCTCATTGAGTCCCAGGCAGGTTCCAACTTCCGGATCCCCATGAGCCTGGGGGAGCCACATGCTGAAGTGGACAATAGTGAGTGTGCAACTCATTGGGATGGAACAAATTGGTTACCAATGCAATGAAATACTCAGGCAAAGGGTCTAACTCTTTGGGCAGCTTTATATAAAAATCACCTAGGCTCATTGTAAATTCATGGATGAAGGACCAAAGGATAAAAAGATTGAGAAATAATGTTTACAGCCAGTATGAATAATAAATTAACCAGAATACAAAAATATAGTATGGTAGGCCTCACCACTTGCACAAGGTTTAGGGACACAGGGCTGCTACAAAAGTAGAAGGTGTGAATACAAGAGAGGACACCTCTTTAGAAATCTCTAGGCCAGTCATGGGCAAACTTTGGCCCTCCAAGTGTTTTGGACTTCAACTCCCACAATTCCCAACAGCTGGTAAGTTGACTGGGATTTCTGGAAGCTGAAGTCCAAACACTTGGATGGCCGAAGTTTCCCCATGCCTGCTCTAGGCCCTCCTTCTGACAAAAGTTGAACATGTTAGTCCTTGAAGACTTAGAGATGGCTAGAAATAACATTAATCAAATCTGCAAATGTTCCATACACAAATGAGGCGTATACCAGAACGTACAATGAAAATGCAAGCATACATGGAGCACTGCCACAAGTAATATTACAAATGTGACAGAAAAAAATTAGATGTTGGGAATATTACCTGAGAACACAAAAAAAGTCAGTTCAGAATATAACAATTAGCGAATATAGGCTTGCTTAATTTGTGTCTTCATAGTTCACTCACACTTTAGCTGTAAGTAAAACAGATAATGAGATCCCTCTTGGCGCAGCAGTTTAAACCACTGAGCTGCTGAACTTGCTGACCCAAAAGTTAGCGGTTGGAATCCAGGGAGCGGGGTGGGCTCCTGCTGTTAGGCCTAGCTTCTGCCAACCTAGCAATTCAAAAACATGCAAATCTGAGTAGATCAATAGGTACCGCTTCCGCGGGTAGGAAATGACACTCCATGCAGTCATGCTGGTCACATGACCTTGGAGAAGTCTATGAACAACACCGGCTCTTCAGTTTAGAAATGAAAATGAGCATTTCCCAGAATCGGACACAAGTAGACTTAATATCAGGGGAAAACCTTTACCTTTTACCTTTAAACAGATAAGCTGCTATAAAGATATTGTTCTAGTTGCTAGTTCTGAAGTGATCTGTTAAAAATATACAGCAAATCGATTCCATTTTGTAAGGAAAGAGGGTGGTGGGAATTCAGTCTCTGGCAATGCCACCACTCCTGGGACTTTTATAGCCACCCTTTCTCAACTTTATTTATTCTGCACTGACATCCCTTTTCCTCATTATGGTTTCCTCTGGTCTTTTGTTTAACTATTTATTATTGTTTTTGCTATTTTGTGTGTATCTTTTGTTAGGACCCTTCCAGTCTGTATTTGTTAGGAGTTATATAGAGTCGACAAAATTTTTCTTGTCTCCTGAGATCAATGGGTCCATTTGGACTGTAGAGCAGCAGTTCCATCACTTGCCATTGTGTAGGGGTGGCAGTGCAGCACAACAGATTTTTTTCTTTTTTCTTTCTGCTCTGTGGTTTTCTTGGCACAGTCTGTTTAGAAGGGGTTTGCCTTTTCATTCCTGAGGTTGAGAGAGTATAACTTGCTCAACATCACCCAATAGATGTCTGTTCCTGAGCAGGGATTCCAACCCTTATCATACGGAAGTGCTCAAACCATGACATCACATGTGAATTTGCCTCTTCTGAAATGAACATAAAATCCAGGGCAATGGATTTGGCTCAGATGCTTTAAGAATAGGTACCAGTTCCTTGGGCTCAGCCAAACACTTCTTTCCTCACAATCTCTGAGGATGCCTGCCATAGATGCAGGTGAAATATCAGGAGAGAATGCTTCTGGAACATGGCCATACAGCCCAGAAAATTCACAACAACCCACTTCTTTCTCACTTCCAGGTAACAATGGTTGCACTGCTTATGATGTCACCATCAACACCAGCTTTTACAACAAAATGAAGGTGAGTGCCTTTTTGAACAGGGGCCCTTTGTTGGGATTCAACCCCACGTTGCCCAAGTTTCAAGTCCTCAAAGAGGAGAAGTTAGTTAGCATTAGAATAGTCTGAGGATTTCCTATCAAACATGTCTACTGTATGAGAATTGGGAATGTATCTTTTTCTTCTCTCTTCTCTCTTTCTGCTCTCATTCTGATTGGTTGTGTAGAATGGATACTTTTCTACTGCAAGAATCTGACTTCTGTTTTTTCCACCTGCGTATGTGCTGTGTGCTTTGAGATTTCACTCTCTGCGTGTGTGTCAGGAGAAAAACAGTGATTGGTGTTTTTTCCCCTCTCTTTGAAACCTTAGAGATGGTTTTTAGAGTAGCTCAGACCCAGTTCTTTACCGTTAAGAAATACAGTTATTCTTTATTATTGTAAATAAACATTTTTTGTTATTTTTAAGCTTGAACTCTGCATCTTTGCCTGCCTAAGCTCTTAATTATTTACAGCCACATCACACAGCACTTCATGCTCTGTTCGCTAATGAGCTGAATGCTCAACTTTAAGTATCCTGTTTGTTTTTGGATGCTCTGCTATATTTTACGATAGTTTTCCCTAACATCCTTCAATCCCCAAACTTGTAGTGTTTGTACTGTGATAACCTAAGGAGGAACTTTTCCTGTCAAGAACCACCTGGGTGCATTCTGCTGCTTAGAAAGTGGGGGAGATATTGGACAGAGATCATTGGGAAAGTTGGGATATTAAGAGAGTGGAAGCTGGAGGTTCCTTCCATCCCTTATTCCACACCAGCGATAGTCAATATCTCCAATTTTAGTGTGATAATGAATCCATTCTGAGTTTTAGTCTGACGTTTAACAGCATAAGCCAAAGTGCTGACAGTACCTGTAGGTTGCAGTTCAACACCTTCAATAGCAGTTCCTTTAAAAAAAAATCACTTTCCCAAGAAGAAGCAAGATTTGTTCAGAGGGAGTTTGTCTTTGCCCCATTCTTGAGATGAGAAGTAGTGTTGATAGGTCTATTATATTCAGCCCTACACATTTGCTCATGCTAGGGGCACAGAATCTCCATGAAAGTGGAAATGCTATTTTTGTTACCTGATAGAACCTCCTTGGGAATTTCTTGATCCTCCACCACAGCAATATGACCTCCTGTGAGCTTGCTGTAGAATCCCACTGGAAGACCTAGAGATTCCTAGAGAGGTGTTCCTTATAGGAATCCCTAGTTCATCTAGCATGACTAGAGATAGTTGCACCGGAGGACCTAGAGATTCTTAGGGAGAACACTGTAATCAAATCTGTAAATAATAATATCCACAAAAGTGGAGGGCCTACTGTGTTTAATGTGCCATGTACATATCTCCTTAGATCAGTGGTTCCCAACCTGTGGTCCATGGATCACCAGTGGTCCCCAAGAACTATATGGTCCGTGGCCTCACTGTTATAATGAAAGTAACTGGTCTCGCAAAACCCTCTTATAGTGCCGAGGCAATGGGGATGTTGGAAGGGGAGAGGATGGCTACCCACAGAAAGCGTGACAACAAGACTCCTGACTGCTGCTGCTTCTCCTTCTCATTCCCCCTGAGTGGAGCCATTCCATGTGGTGCCTGGGAGCGAGGGCGCTTTGGTGTCTTCATTTTTAGGCCTGTTCCTGAGCATATTTGGGGTGCTAATTCAGAGAATTGCATTGGATAGATCACATCAGCTCTAATTATGGTTTTCTGTGGACAAGCAGATGGTGACTACAGTTTGGCATATGTTCTGTATCAGAAACAAGAGCTGATGTGGTATATCCAGTACAATTTTCTGAATCAGCACCCCAAATAACCAACCGAATCTAAAGTTGACCAAAAACCAATTCGTAACCCTTTTTGAACTAATGTTGGAGAGTAGTCCCTGGTCAAGTGGTCCCTGGCCAAAAAAAGGTTGGGAACCACTGTCTTAGATTGTACTTCAGAGAAGCAGCTCCTCCCCACTTCATCCTGTTCTTTGTCATTCCCAAGGGCAACGGGTTTCTCAAAGAGTTTTTCATCACGATCGTCTTGGAAGGACTGTCTGAGAAATACAGCTTGAACCTCACCAACCAAGGTAGGTGGAATCAGCTTTGCTGCTGGAAGACAGTTGAGCATCTCTCCAGAGGGCCCCTCCTTGTTTGAGTGCTAAGGAAATATCCTTGATCAAAAGGGACCCTGAACAGGTTCTTATTTTCTGTGGACTTAAGACATCTGCAACTTGACCTAATGTATCTCCTCTCAGATTGGCGAATTCTGAAGAACAGGAAGTTTATGGGCTCTGTATCTGAACAGAACATCCGCACCAAATCCAAGCTGATCATCCAGGAGATGGAAAACAGGTCAACCTCTCTTTGTGTGATCCTCCTTAATTTGATTCCCCACTTTTTATTAAGCAATGATATGTTTTAAAATTAGATAACTTTGCCCCCCTTTCTACATACATGTATGATGGATGCATATAACACGATAAGGGTTAACACCCTTGTAAGATTTGTTTTGTTGTCTGTGCCCCTGTTCAGAAGATTTCACCTCATTTTCTGTCCCTGTGAACTTTGTACAGCTAAGTTCATAAGACTTCCTTTGCAGATCTGTTTGGATTGTCTTTCATTAATCAATTCTGTGGAGGATACAAGACATGGCTTCACCTACACCCCATACCCAATAGTGATATTAAGTCCTGCATGGGAAAAGAAACAGATAATAGGCAGTCCCTGAGTTACAAATATCAGACTTACATCTGACTCCTAGTTACAAACAAGGTGGAGACAACAGGGAGTGATAGGAAATCTATCTTTAGGAAAGAAAATGCACTCCTGTAAGAATTACCATGAGGAAAAGGTGTCTCCACTGAAGCTTTCTCACCAATCCTTGTTTCCACAACAACCAAAAAAAAAATCAACATCAATTGTCACAGGGACAGAAAAGGAGGGGAAATTTTCTGAGCAGGGGCACAGACAACAAAATTAATATTACAGGGGTGTTACCCCTTCTCTGTGCTATACAAAACTTTTAAAAATTGGCTGAAGTTACACTTCAAAAATGTATTTGTTCTGACTTAAATACAAATTCAGCTTAAGAAAAAAACAGAAGTGATCTGTTTTATAACCTGGGGACTGCTGTATGGGAAGTTTGGCCCAATTTTATTGTTGGTGGAGTTTGGAATGCTCTTTGATTGTAGGTGAACTATAAATCCCACTAACTACAATTCCCAAATGTCAAGGTCTTTTTCCCAAACTCCACCATTTGGGCATATTGAGTATTTCTGAAAGTTTGGTCCAGATCCATCATTGTTTGAGTCCACAGTGCTGTCTGATTCTAGGCGAACTACAATTCCAAAACTCAAGGTCAATGCCCACCAAACCCTTCCAGTATTTTCTGTTGGTCATGGGAGTTCTATGTGCCAAGTTTGGTTCAATTCCATCATTGTTGGAGTTCAGAATGCTCTTTGATTGTAAGTGAACTATAAATCCCAGGAACCACAACTCCCAAATGACAAAGTCACGCCCCCCCCAACCCCACCAGTATTCAGATTTGGCCATATTGTGTATTTGTGTCAAATTTGGTCTAGTGAATGAAAATGCATCCTGCATATTAGATATTTACATTGCGATTCATAACAGTAGCAAAATTACAGTTCTGACATAGCAACAAAAATAATTTTATGATTGGGGGTTATCACAACATGAGGATCTGTATTAAGGAGTCGTGGCATTAGGAAGGTTGAGAAACACTGTTTTAGAGGCTATGATGAAATTCCATCCCACTCAGTAGTGGCCCAGTTCCTCTTTACAACTCAACACAGATGTAATACTCCAGTATGTGTTACTAGACTGGCAATGGCTGGGTTGGGAAATGCTTTTAAGCATGGGTGGACACTAAGGCCTTCTAGATGTTGTTGAACTCCAGTTCCCAACATTCATTGCTATTGATCATGCTGAGAATTGCAATACAGTGACATCTGGAAGATTGCGTGATTCTCACCCATGGCTGAGAAGGGAGGTTCAATGACTAGTTGCTAAATGTAAAACGAATATAATGTGTCATTTGAGACCAAGGAAAAACAAGTCTTTGGATCGTTTTACTAGCCATTTTCTGACACAGAAATGCTCCCCAAAAATTGAAATTGTAGCCCACTCTGCCCCCCCCACCCCCCATGAAAAATCAGAGCAGTCTATCTGATCAGTATTTGAATGTTTGAACTTAGTTTTGTTTCCTGAAATGTTGTGTGTTTTTCCTTTTTTCTGTAGTGAAACCAAGGAGAAAGGTAGTAACGTTTTGCAGTCTTCTGTATCAGAAAGGTATGATGTTGGGAATGATTCAGAATGGTTATGGGGACAGAGAAACAGATGAGCATGTTTCTGGATCAGGAAAACCAGTATATGTTAAATAGATTAGACTATTCCAAAGTAGTTTACATGGTATTGCGTTTGAACACGCAACAGAAACTGCAGATTCCTGCAGAACAAGTGAAAACTACAACAAAGCATTGCAGCATTAAGTGTTAGTTTGAGGATTCCAATCACTCTTTTCTATTTCCTTTTCCTTTTCTTCTATTCTCCCCATACTCCTGAAACAACCAGATGGTGTTACATTGTGCTGTTGAAGGCTTTCATGGCCGGAATCACTGGGTGGCTGTGAGTTTTCCGGACTGTATGGCCACGTTCCAGAAGCATTCTCTCCTGACATTTTGCCCACATCTATGACAGGCATCCTCAGAGGTTGAGAGGTGTGTTGGAAACTAGGCAAGTGAGGTTTATATATATGGAATGTTCAGTGTGGAAGAAAGAACTCCTGTCTATTTGAGGCAGGTGTGAATGCTGCAATTGGTGACCTTGATTAACACTAAAAAGCCTTGCAGCTTGAAGGCATGGCTGCTTCCTTGTTTCCAACAAACCTCACAACCTCTGAGGATGCCTGCCATAGATGTGAATGAAACGTCAAGAGAGAACAGTTCTGGACCATGGCCATACAGCCCGGAAAACTCACATCAACCCACTGATGTTACGTTGTTGTTGTTGTTCGCAGTCTTGTTTGGGGGTTGCTCTTGGCTCTTATGGGGTTCTCTCCCATTTAGTGCTCCCTCTTAAATATTTTGTACATCTAGCAGGGTTTTTCCCAGCCTGTTTATAAGTAGCTGAATATCCATTAGCAGTGCGATGAAACAAGTTAATCTCCAATGGCTTCTGACACCTCTGGTCAGAGCAGGACTATTAACCTTATTATTAAATTTCTTTAGCCCTTGTTGTGATGAAGTGAAGCTTAAATTTCTAATCAATTAAGTAATGTTCTCTTAGAATTGACAATCTTTCAGATACAAGAGCTATATTTTGACAAAACCCTTAATCTGGAATTAATTGCCTGGTCCTCTGGGAGATTAGATTCAAATGGAAGAATATGTATTATCTCAGCCTATGAACAGCCCCTTCTCTGCTCCCATGGCTGACAGTGGCTACCAATTTAAGAGATTTTAGAAGCTGGATTCTGCTAGGGAACAATACTGGAATATGTTGTCGAAGGATTTCATGGCTGGAATGACTGGGTTGTTGTGAGTTTTCCGGGCTGTATGGCCATTTTCCAGAGGCATTCTCTCTTGACATTTCACCCATATCTATGGCAGGCATCCTTAGAGGTTGAGGGGTCTGTTGGAAACTGATCGACCAACCTGGACACAGCTTATTATTTGAGAACACAGAAATGCTGGACCACTCGAACAACCACTATGTCAGACTACACAGAGAAGCCATTGAAATCCACAAGCATGTGGACAATTTCAACAAAAAGGAGGAAACCGTGAAAATGAACAAAATCTGACCACCAGTATTTAAAAAGTCTAAAAACAGGATAGTAAATAAAGAACAACACTCAGAAAACAAGGGAATTCCAGAGAGGATACAATTGAGGCCAATTAACACTTCCCAACAAAGGATCCCCCAGGCAGCAACCAGCCAGGCTTTGAAACTGCAAGCCATTCAATGCTAATCAAGGTGGCCAATTGAAACATTCACACCTGCCAAAAACAGACAAGAGTTCTTTCTCCCACCCTGGACCTTCCACAGATACATAATCCTATTTTGCTTAGTTTCCAATATACTTCAACCTCTAAGGATGCTTGCCATAGATGTGAGTGAAACATCAGGAGAGAATGCTTCTGGAACATGGCCATACAGCCCGGAAAACTCACAGCAACCCAATACTGAAATAGGACAATTGCCCTCCTTTTGGGCTGCCAATAGCCATTTGAATGGCCACTGGAAGATAGGCTGCAGGATTAGTTTAGCCTTTGGTTACCAGGGCCCTTCTTATGTTCTTATCTAGTCTTCTCATTTACTCCACAGCTCTGCCACCGTTCCTGAATACAAGGTAGTTGCTGAGCCGTCTCTCAGTCATCCTGATCGTCTTGTGGCAAAAATTTGCCTTCCTAAAATGGTAACTTCACCACACTGTGGAGTTTATAGGAAGACATAAAGGGATGTCGCATCAACATGTATTTTTTAGTGATTTCTTTCCTCTGTTTCAGACTTCAGTGAAATCCCTGGAGCTGGACCTGGGTGAAGATCGCATTGTGTTACAGGGACAACCCGGACTGTACCATCTGGACATCTTCATCCCCTACAGCATTGTTCCTGAAGAAAGCAAGGCACAGTTCCACAGAGAGACCAAGGTGAGTGACAAGGCAGCACACTCCAAGTTGGTGCCCTCAGATGCAAAGTTTGGACTGTAGAGCCACATCTTTCCAATGGCTATTGCAGGTGGAGATAATAGGAGTTGTAGTCTGAATCATTTGGCAGTGTCTGGGTGGGTGAAGTTTGAATGTGTGGAGATTCTTTCAAACTGTTCCTTCAGACTACACCACCCATTTTCTTCCACAACATAAGAATTTAAATCTGCTTAAGTCCAGAAATGTTTCCTTTGCAAGTTATTTGTGCTCCAGGGAAACAGTGAGGTGCTTCATTGCCTATACAAGTAGATTTCTTTCTCCTCTCAATTGCAGAGAACTTCATTTAGTAGTCACACTAGTTCAGTAGAGACTTATTCTGGATTCATGCTCTAAGTCAGCATTTCTCAACCTGAGGGTTGGGACCCCGGGAGGGGGGGTCATGAGGGGGGGGGGGTTCAGAAAGGTCACAAAAGACCATCAGAAAACACATATTTCTGATGGTCTTAGTAACTCCTTTGGCAGAGAAGGCTGAAGATCTCTCCGCCTGTCCTTCTCTTCCTTTTTTGAAACAGATAGCAAATTTCTCCCACCAAAAGCCATCCTCCTGCTGTGATTGGCCAGCCTCTCAGCTAAGGGGATGGCTGTTTCTGAGACTCCAAGTGGGGAGGGGAGAGCGGGCATGCTTGGCACATGGCAACGTGGTGCGCATGTGCAGGCAAGGGAGAGTGTGTAAGGCTGGAGTAAGGTTTGTGCCAGCAAGTCCCTCAAATGCCAGGGGAAAAGTGCCTATGTGACATGGGACTGAGAGTGGCCTATTTATTTATTTACAACATTTATATGCTGCCCTTCTCACCCCGAAGGGGACTCAGAGCAGCTTACAAGATATATATACATACAATATACTATATTATTAGCATAGTACAATATCAGTACTAACTATATTGTATTATACCATATATTGTAATATTATTAGTAATATTATTAGTAATATTATGGGTAATATAAATATATAATTGTAATATTTTATTAGTAGTAGTATTATATTGTATTACATTATAATATTATAAATATTACATATATATATATATAGGCCTAGCAGCATCAGGAGAAGGAGCAGCAACAGAAGCAGCTTAGGTAATGCTAGTTATTTTTAATTACAAAAATGTGAGTCAAGCACTGCAAGAGTTAGTAGGCCGAAGCGCGTTAGAGTCATGGGCCAAAGCCAGTGTTGTCCTGAGGAGTTTTGGGAGAATAGGCTCATTGTTAGTAGGCTTGAGTGTTAGGTAGGCCTTTTTATAAGAAGGCCTCATGTGTGAAGCTCCAATGTGAACACTGAACTTTTTTTGTGTCATGGAAACCTTGTTCTTGTACATAGTGCAACCATATTATTTTTCTATAAAGAAAAGCCTCATAAGGAAGATATAACATTGATCTGTGTGTGTGTTTGATCAGCTTCTTCAATAAAACTATTGCTCAGCGGATTGAAGCAGTGGGGAGTCCTCTAGGCTTAAATAACACGATGTCTGACAGAAATATTAAAAATTAACTAGGTATTTTTTATTACAAAAGTGTTAGTCAAGCACTGAAAGAGTTAGTAGGCCGAAATCTATTAGAGTCAGTAGGCCAAAGCTAGTGTCATCCTGAGGAGTGTGAAGTAAACCTCTGTGTGAGAGAAGCCTCTCTGTGTGAGAGATCACCTGAGTGAGAGAATAGGCCTCATTGTTAATAGGCCTGAGTGTAAGGTGGGCCTCGTTATGAGAAGGCCTTGTGTGTGAAGCTTCTGTGTGAACGTTAAACTGTATTTGTGTCATGGAAACCTTGTTCTTGTACATCATACAACCATATTGTTTTGCTATAAAGAAAAACCTTATAAGGAAGGTGGAGCCTCCAGTGGCACAATGGGTTAAAGCCCTGTGCTGGCAGGACTGAAGACCGACAAATCGCAGGTTCGAATCCGGGGAGAGGTGGATGAGCTCCCTCTATCAGCTCCAGCTCCTCATGCGGGGACATGAGAGAAGCCTCCCACAAGGATGATAAAAACATAAAAAAAAATCATCCGGGCATCCCCTGGGCAATTCTCTCACAACAGGATGCTCCTGACACGACAAAAAAAAGAAAAGAAAAAAAAAAGGAAGGTATAACATTGATCTGTGTGTTTTGATCAGCTTCTTCAATAAAATCACTGTTCATCAGACTGCAGTAACAAGGAGTCCTCAAGGCTCAAATAACACAATGTCTGTTAGAAATATTAAAAATTAACTAGGTATTTTTGATTACAAAAATGTGAGCCAAGCACTGAAAGAGTTAGTAGGCCGAAGCCTGTTAGAGTCAATGGGCCGAAGCTAGAGTCATCCTGAGGAGTGTGAAGTTAACCTCTGTGTGAGATAAGCCTCTCTGTGTGAGAGATCACCCCAATAGGAGAATAGGCCTTATTATTAGTAGGCCTGAGTGTGAGGTATGCCTCATTATGAGCAGGCCTCATGTGTGAAGCTCCAATGTGAAGGTTGAACTTTATTTTTGTTGTTGAAACTTTGTTCTTCTACAAATGCATTCTTTATATTGATATAAAGAAAAGCCCCATAAGGAAGATATAAAATTGATCTGTGTGTTTTTGTTCTTTTATATCACTTTGGGCTACTGGGTCATGCTGCTGCTGATAAGTTACTCTGCTGTGCATTTATGAGGAGGGTCTTTTGTTAATAAGCCCACTTGCCCAACAAGGTTGACTTCCTGCTTGGCACCATGAGTTTGAGCTTGAACAGCTTCTTCAATAACATCACTGCTCGACAGATTGCAGCAGCAGGGAGTCCTCTAGGCTCAAATAACAGAATGTCTTCCTCCTTCCAGATCCTCACTGTCACTATGCCCGTCCAACGCCCATTACTTCTGTCATGAGCTCTATGGAGAAAAGCTGGAAGAAAGACAATTTCATCAGCTTAAGGACTTTGATCTCACAGCAGAGGAACAGAGATCCAGGAAGGATGGACAATGGATTTGCCTCTCAAATGATTGGTACTGGACTTGTGAGGTGTAACAGTTCCTACTGTGGGTAGGCTCTGTACCTAAGCCCATGCAATAAAGTTGGAACTGGGAAAAGTTACTTTTTTAAAAACCACAACCTGTGGAATCAAATGAGGGATTCTGGTTGGGCGGGGCACATTAATCCAGAAAAAAAACCCCACCAATTTTCTGGGTTCTAAGTAAAGCGTGTTGGATGGGATCCAGAGCTTTGCCACCTTTTTCCTCCTACGAATTTGTTCTCAACTTCCTTTCCACCCACAACAGCTGCTGTTCTTTCCTCTTTCTGTTTTCTCAGCCAACTAATGCAGTCTACTCATCTCCATTTGCTTTTCTGCAGACAGTTTTATAACCCAAAAGCAAGCCACCTTTGACCCTCTAGTTCAGGCATGGGCAAACTTTAGCCCTCTGGGTGTTTTGGACTCCAACTCCCACAATTCCTAACAGCCTCAGGCCCTTTCCTTTTCCCCCTCAGCCGCTTAAGCTTAAGCCGCTTAAGCGGCTGAAGGGGAAAAGGAAGGGGCCTGAGGCTGTTAGGAATTGTGGGAGTTGGAGTCCAAAACACCTAGAGGGCTAAAGTTTGCCCATGGCAGCTCTAGTTGTCTACCACTCCCTTCATGCCTCACTTAACAATTATTAACAGGAAGTGGAGTTCGGCAACATTCACAAGGCTATCGTTTCCCTCCATCTGTGTTGAACTATGTTGTCTTTCAGTTCTCTTGAGACCAGTCCTTCCCTTTCATCAAGTTTGGCTTCATGCTTTTCACCAGGTCATGAAAACCTGTGTTTGAAAAAAGATGGCAAACATTCTATCCCCAAAATGGATGTCTTCTGACTCAAGAATGTTTTCTTGTATAGATTTTGAAGCAAACATGCTTGAATCAGTTGTGGTGTAGATTTTTTTTTCTCCGCCTTGCTTACTTTTTTCCTGTTTGGAAAATTTACCTTTTTGGATCTATAACTCCCAGAATCTTCCAATCAGCATGGGCTGTGGTCAGACTGAGTGGGAAAAGAAAAGGTTGCAAGGGAGGGAGGCACATTATGTCTTTTCATTTGGGTGGCGAGATGATGTTTGAGCTGATTGTAGTCTACTTTGCATCGTCGCTACTGTTGTAAGTTTCCTTGAGTCAGCTTTCTTGTCTGCAGGCTTTGAATTACATTTTTCGTGATAAAAAATAAAGTTTTCAGTCATTAGAATTCATGTTGCAAAATTTGAAACAACCAGGTGGTTATAGCAGGGAGCTTGAGAAGTTCTGTTTTAATGACCACTTTTGAAAATACGAGGGGTATTTTTTAAGTAAGGTCCGTTTTATTGTAGATACTAGTAGTTTGTGCGCATACCGCAACGAGCGTGTGCGTCGTGTACCGACATGCCTCGGGAACAACTGTGCTCAGTTTCCGCTCTGTAGCTAACCTGTACGATTCTGTTCTGTGCTTTAAAAATGTTTAAGACTCACCCTCACCCTCCGCATGTGGGGTTCGCTCAGTGATATGGTTTTTGTCAGCAAGGAACCTGCCTGCTGCAGAAATTCATCGACAGATTTGTGAAGTGTAAGGTGATACTGTTATGAGTGAAAGCAAAGTGCATAAGTGGGTACGACAATTCAAAGATGGCCGTGACAACGTCCATGATGAGGACCGCTCCGGTTGCCCTTCTTTGATTACAGATGATTTGGTGGCTTCAGCTGAAGCGAGGATTCATGAAGAGGGTATTTTAAAATTGGTTCAGAGGTATGATAAGTGTTTGAACAAACTTGGCAACTATGTCGAAAAATAGAGTGAAGTATGTACTTTCTGAAAATAAATTTACTTTTTAAAAATAAACTTTCGTTGTGTACTTATGTTCAAACGGACCTTACTTAAAAAATACCCCTCGTATAACTGCCCATGCGGCTGGGGTTTGGTGTGTTGAGTTCAGACAAAGGAACATTTCCAAACTCTAGTATAAAGTAAAGGTAAAGTTTTCCCCTGACATTGTCTAGTCGTATACGACTCGGGGGGTGAGGCTGGTCATCTCCATTTCTATGCCAAAGAGCCAATGTTGTCCATAGATGCCTCCTAGGTCATAAGGCCAGCATGAGTGTATGGAGTGCCGTTACCTTCCCTCCGTAGCTGTACATATTAATCTACTCACATTTACATGTTTTCGAACTGTTAGGTTGGCTGAAGCTGGGGCTAACAGAGGGGAGCTCACCCCGCTGCCTGGATTGGAACCGCCAATACTGAGTTGAGTTCAGCAGCTCAGCGGTTTAACCCGCTGTGCCACTAGATAGCCCTAAGCTCTTGTATAGTATTCTAGAAATGGGTTTCTAAAGCAAAGGGTACTTTGGGGCAGACTTTCTCAAAAATTGATCTGGCTGTTTATATTTCTCTTAGGGCCCTTCCACACAGCCCTATATCCCAGAATATCTGAGTGTGGACCCAGGGCCTTTCCACACAGCCCTATATCCCAGAATATTAAGGCAGAAAATCCCACAATATCTGCTTTGAACTGGGTTATCTGAATCCATACTCAGATAATGTGGGATTTTCTGCCTTGATATTCTGGGATATAGAGCTGTGTGGAAGCATTCTTTGAGGAACAACCGCCCAGCTCTAAATAATCCTGTATTTCAGCCTTCCGTTGGTCATGGGAGTTTGTGTGCCAAATTTGGTTCAATTCCATCATTGGTGGGGTTTAGAGAAGTCTTTGATTGTAGATGAACTATAAATCCCAGCAACTACAACTCCCAAATGACAAAACCAACCCCCCAAACCCCACTAGTATTCAAATTTGGGCGTATTGGGTATTTGTGCCAAATTTGGCCCAGTGAATGAAAATACATCCTGCATATCAGATATTTACATTACGATCCATAACAGTAGCAAAATTACAGTACCATCAATAAGTAAAACATTCATTAAAAATCATTATTAATAGCCGTAACATCATTCAATTCCATATCCAATTCCATGTCCAAAGTGCTATCTATGTCTGTTGTCCAAAAGCCTGGTCCTAGAACCACGACTGCAATTTCTTCCTAAATGACAGGAAGGACAGAGCTGATCTTACCTCAGTGGGATGCAAGTTCCACAGGCGGGGGGCCACAGCCGAGAAGGCCCTGTCTTTCGTCCCCGCCAGACATATTTGTGACACTGGCGGGTGTGAGAGCAGGGTCTCCCCCGGATGATCTTAAACTGCGAGATGGGACATAGAGAGAGTTGTGTTCAGACAAGTAAGCTGGGCCAGAACCATATAGGGCTTTATAGGTCAAATAATCCTGTATTTCAGCGTTCCGTTGCCATAGCCCATGGCTACCCCGAAATAATTTGTTTCCTGAAGCACACAGCAACAGAATTCACATACTGAAGCCAACTGGATTGGCAGTTGGGTCTGACATTGGCACATATTTTGTATATAACTGAAGATGGCAGAGCTAGTTTAGTGCAACAAAGGGCAGGTTGAGCCACACCATTCTCTCCCAATAGCTGCAAATAGTTACAGGTCAGCTACTGCCATTGCCAGTATCTGTTGCCTGAGATGGTTGTCTCGTCATGCCTAATGGTAGAGCTGGGATGGATCAAACATCTCTCTTTGCCCCTCAATCTGTTCACACTTGAATGTTTCCAAAAGCACTGTCAGACACTTCTCTGCCTGCTCGTTCCTTACTATGTTTTCCATTATAGATGCACAAAACAGGCTTATGCCAAAAAAAGGCCAAATTCCTGTTGGTCTAATTTGGCAAATCTTGAAATCATGACTAGCAGTGACGCTTTTCAGTCTTGGCCTTTCTCACTTCCCGTTACTTCAGATTTTGTAAAGGGGCTACGTGAGGATAGGGACTTGTGACCTCCGGCAAGCAAATCGTGTGCTATACCACCAACTTTTCTTTCATTTTTAAAAACACAGGCTTCTGCTTTTTCTCTCTCACTTGCATGCATGTGCCCACACGCACACTCACATCATCCACAAGTGCCAAGTCTCCTTCCTCTGTTCCCTTCTTTACCCATGCACCCCCCATCTGTACAGCCTGTTCCATAAGCACATGTCCATCACTACCACCCCCGCCAACACACACCCCGCGCCTTCTGTCTTTTGCATTTTTCTTCAGGCAACCTGTTCTATCACTCTCTTTTACTGGAGGACAGAAAAGAAGAAGATACAGGGTATTTGTGAAGTTGGCTGCAGGGTGCATTGTCCTTCAAGGCTCTGGCTTCAGTTCAGAGGCTATAGAAGCCCCCGGTGGCACAGTGGGTTAAACCCCTGTGCTGGCAGGACTGAAGACTGACAGGTCGCAGGTTCGAATGCGGGAAGAGGCGGGTGAGCTCCCTCTATCAGCTCCAGCTCCTCATGCGGGGACATGAGAGAAGCCTCCCACAAGGATGATAAAAACATCAAATCATCCAGGCGTCCCCTGGGCAACGTCCTTGCAGACGGCCAATTCTCTCACACCAGAAGCGACTTGCAGTTTCTCAAGTCGCTCCTGACACGATTAAAAAAAAGAGGCTATAGGACAGGGACTGAATTCTTTAAGCTCAGGGGTGAGACTCATATAGAATCATAGAGTTGGAAGAGACCTTGTTGCCCATCCAGTCCAACCCCCTGCCAAGAATCAGGAAAATCTTATTCAATCATCCCTGACAGATGGCCATCAAGCCTCCTAAGAAGGAGCCTCCATTACACTCCAGGGCAGAGAGTTTCACTTCTGAACAGCTCTCACAGTCAGGAAGTTCTTCCTCAAGTTCAGGTGGAATATCCTTTCCTGTAGTTTGAAGCCATTGTTCCGCATCCTAGTCTCCAGGGCAGCAGAAAACAAGCTTGCTCCCTCCTCCCTATGACTTTCCCCTCACATATTTATCCATGGCCATCATGTCTCCTCTCAGCCTTCTCTTCTTCAGGCTAAACACGCCCAGCTTTTTAGGCCGCTCCTCATAGGGCTTGTTCTCCAGACTCTTGATCATTTTAGTCACCCTCAGGACACATTCCAGCTTGTCAACATCTCCCTTCAATTGCGGTGCCCAGAATTGGACACAGTGTGATTCCAGGTGTGGTCTGAGTAAGGCAGAATAGAGGGGTGGCATGACTTCCCTGAATCTAGACACTAGACTCCTATTTATGCAGGCCAAATCCCATTAGTTTTTTTAGCTGCTACATCACATTGTTGGCTCATGTTTAATTTGTTGTCCACGAGGACTCCAAGATCTTTTGTCAGACATACTGCTGTCGAGCCAGGCATCGTCCCCCATTCTGTATCTTTGCATTTTATTATTTTCTGCGTAAATTTTCTGCGTATCTTGCATTTGTCACTGTTGAACTTCATTTATCACATAACTAAAAATGCTCTGGGGTGCATGAAGTAGAGCAGTGCTATTCAAAAGAGGTCGTCCGTGGACCAGTGCTGGTTCCTGAGCCATCAACTATTAGTTACTCCTGAGTATGAAGGAAAGAGGTGCTCCAGGTGGTTCAGCAGGTTAAAGCACCGAGCTGCTGAACTTGCTGACCAAAAGGTTGGTGGGTTCGAATCCGGGGAGTGGCGTGAGCTCTCGCTGCTAACCCCAGCTTCTGCCAACTTAGCAGTTCGAAAACATGCAAATCTGAGTAGATCAATAGGTACAGCTCTGGTGGGAAGGTAACGGTGCGCCATACAGTCATGTCTACCACATAAACTTGGAGATATCTATGGACAATGTCAGCTCTTCAGCTTAGAAATGGAGATGAGCACCACCCCCCCCCCCCCAGAGTCGGACACAACTAGACTTAATGTCAAGGGGAAACCTTTACCTTTTTACTTATGAAGGAAGGAAAGAAAGAATTGCAGCTAATGGTCACAAATAGCATCTGAGGTGATCCTTAGCATATGAAGTGAGGGATAAAAATCAGTCCCTTAGACAGCTTGGGAAGTAGTGGTGCGGAGCTTAATTGCAATGTTATTAACAAGTGATAGGCGGCACTGTGTCCAGTTTGAAGCAGTTACTGAACTTAAACTCTATACTTATGGTATTCCTTAGTTAAAGGAAGTTCAGTGGAGACACACTGGCTTGGCTTCTCTCTGAAACAGCAATCTGAAGAGGAGTACCCCAAAACAGCAAAAAAACATGCTTGAAAGTACTCCCAAAATTGACCAGGGTTGAAGCAATGTTACCCTTAGTTCCCAAAATGGGATGTTATGGCCCAACAGGGGACCCTGGAATTTGGTGGGGGCAGCCCTCTGGTTTCT